ACTACTACTACTACTACGACGACTTCTACTACTACTACTACTACTACTACTGCTACTACTACTACTACTACTACTACTACTCCTTCTGCTGCTGCTATTACTGACAGCCTGAGTAGTAGTCATCGTCGTATAGCTGGCGTCGTCGTCATCGTCGTCATCACGTCGTCGTCGTCGTAGTCGTCGTCTTCGAAATAGATGTTCCAGTGCTATGCTGACATGCAGATGTAGTTGCAACGTACAGGTTTCAATTCACACGTCTGAGCTTGGTTACACTGTTTCTTCTCGTGCGGTTTATCTAATTAAATCATGTAATGAAATCTTATTGTGTCTGGCTCTACCGTTCTTCTTGCATCTGCTGCTCGTTGTTGCGACACCAAGGCTTTGCATCTGTGATTGACCTGGGCCTGGGATGCGAACCAAAAGTGACATTTTCTTGCGGTCGCCGGGCTTCTGATTATGTGGTTTGGAGACGGCATAGATGAGGGTTTGGCACCCAAAACGTCCCAAGCCCAAACCTACGCTGCACAATCCAAGGGCCCAAAGTTTACCAGTCAGGCAAATTGTGTATGACCCAATGCAGGACCTATCTAGCCGCAACCTCCTCCAAGAAATCTTTTCCACGCAGCATGCGACTGTTTGCTTGGCTTGTCCGTATTGCAGCCGACCGACCGGATCTGAGTCAGTTTGGGGGGGATGGACGGAGAATTTGCGAAGTTCGTTGGGCGACTTGGGTGAGGGAGTTCAACTGCGCCTGCAAATGTAGCACCCCACTTTGGAAAACCAACACCTGGGACGTATGAGCACGTACTTGTATGCATCTGCATACATGCATGTGAGTTATTTCGTATTATACGTAGACGAAAGTAGAAGCAGATCGGCCGGCTGAGGAATGACTGGAACCCCTTCCTACCTCGCGCCAGAGCTATGGAAACGAGGTCAATCCCGACGTTCATTGACAAGCCCGATGCGAGACGTTTCTGGGTTGAGCTTCTTCTGTCCGTTTTGTGTTCCTACAAGGGGCTATACGCTACACGAGCTCAAATCATGAGAACACATGTTCAGTGTGAGGTAGGGAGCTTCGCCAGCAGCAGCAGGAGCAGTAGAAGAAAGATGCCGGGGCACGCTGCAGGTATGGTCACTGGGCGTCATGCTTTACCTGTTGGTTTATCCCAAAGCTCCACCGTTTATGCGAGATGGCACTGGGCAGAAGCAGATCAAGTACAACCCCATTGAGGACCCGACTCAGGATTGATCATGCATTCTCATTTTTCGGGAATCATCGGGGAGTCGACAAGAATGATTTCTTCGAGGATGAAACCATCGGCAAAGAGAATCTGGATTTGCTTATCGCTCAGATGCTGGACCCGGACCCGAGTCGCTCACTGAGTTTGGAGTGTGATCAGCGCCAGCGGCGCTGGCTGCAGATGCTAGGATGTCATACCACCACGGCCGTGCAACGCCGGACATGCACTCTCGAAGAAACGCTTGTCAGTACGATCGTTTCTCGATTGCTTCACGTGTTGCGTCAGTCCGGCAAAGCGCCGGCGAAGCGGGCAGGTCAAATTGTTTCACCAGTCGTCCGTCCCGCTGCCACCATCTAGATGTCCGAAGGTGTGCTCCTCCAACTACTATTACTACAACAACAAGTACTACTACTACTACTACTACTACTACTACTGCTACAACAACAACTACTACTACTACTACTACTACTATCACTACTACTACTACTACTACTACTACTACTACTTCTACTACTTCTACTACTTCTA